TCCCGTACATTGGCCAAACTAGCCCCCCCCCTGCCCTTGTTTGTATGATGCACGTTTTGTAGACTTTGGGTATCGGACGTGCATCCAATTCTTCGAGAGCTACTCACATACCTGAGCCTCAATGCCGCAATCCGAACCCTAAGCCCTAAACCCTAGAACCCCTAGACCCTAAACCCTTCTTGGAGGGTCGGGGGACTTAGTAACTGGTTATGCTAAGGACTTATAAGTACCATAACCCCAATTAGGCTCCCTTTTAAGGTACTTATAAGTCTACTTACTACCTACTTACTAAGTCCCCCGACCCTCCAAGTTCCCAGTTGCAGCTTCCTGCGCGAAACCAAGGCGCAAGCTCCAAACGGCTTGCGGTTCAGGTCCAGTTTACGGTTTCGGGCCCCAAAATTTTTGATGTTTTATATGATAATTCTGGTTCTTTAACAGAAAAATCAGAAAGCATGGGTAGTTGTCAAAGTTTTGGTCCCTTTTTGGGGTACCCTAAGTATTAGGTGACATTCTATTATAGGGACCCAAAAAGGGACCATAATTTTGACAACCACCCATCTGGGTAAAGGTAGGACATTCCACTGGCACTGGCAGCACTAGGATGATAAACGCAGGCTGCACACAAGAAGAACAGATAGCGAGAGGAAGCAATCATCGAGCAATCTAAACTACTTGGGGGTTCATGGGTTAGTTATAATTGGGGTTATAAGTCCCCTAATATGGGTTATAAGTATAGTTACCCTACGTTTAGGTCCACTTATAATTACCCATGAACCTCCAAGTATAGCCGTCATGATAACCCAAACCTTGAACCCTCAGTCCGTAACCCTCAAACCCCACAGATCCAGCAGCCCTCCCAGCTTCGACAGATGTCAACAACTACGGTTGATGATTTAAATCCTGCACTACCTTAATAACCCTAGACTATGGGAATTATGGTGTATTCCTTAATATGGGTTCCTGAACCCTAAGCCGTACCTATAGTCTCCATTCTAGTTCCTTTTTTTGGTTAACCGAAATCTCTGCGTTAGGATCCTAACCATAAAGAAAGGAACTACAATGAGACTCTAGGTAAACCTTGTTCCTGGTTACGGTGGATTTTTGTCGTCGCCAACTCGGGACGGCCTTCTGCAGTGCCATTCCGTGAGGTGAGCCTCCACCTAAGCCGCCACCTTCTGAGGACGTCCACAGTGCTTGGGGGCTCTACTAGGGGTTTAGGGGTTTACACAAGGTTCTAGATATCAGGGTTAAGGGTTGAGGGTTGTGCAAGGATTTAGGGTGTAGGGCTCTGAGTTTATGTAGCATGAGAAGAGGTTTTAGGATTCAGGGTTTAGGTTTAGAGAATTGGGGGTTGTTTAGGATGTAGGGTTTCGGGTTTGGGGGGCAATATGCATGATAAGAGGGTTTTGGGTTTGGGGTTTAGGATTTATGATTATGTGGTTTAGGGTTTGGGGCTTAGGGTTTAGAAGAATGGGGCTTTGGATTTAGGGCTTAAGGTATATAGTATTTAGGGCTCAGACTTTATTTTAAGGACTTATAAGTACCATAACCCAATTAGGGTCCCTTTTAGGGTACTTATAAGTCTACTTACTACCTACTTACTAAGTCCCCCGACCCTCCAAGTAATCTATGCGTTGACGACATCGGCTCTAGAGTGCGTAAGGTGAACCAAGAGCAGCTGTTGTTTCAGGAGACCCTACGGCTCCATGTACCCATATAGTAGGTACTTAGGCCTTAAAGGGGTCCCTATATGGCTACTTTAAGGCCTAAATGGGTACATGGAGCCTTTAGGGACTAATCCGCCACCACCTCCACCGCCACCACGAGGAACTACTACCTACTTCTCAATGTGCCGCTTTGGCAACCCTCGATCGCCTGAACCCTTAACCTCTCAGAACTCTACGCCCCAAACACCCAAACACCCAGAAATAGAGCGCAGACAGTCGACGGAGACGGTTGAGTTTAAGCGCTGATGCTTCAGAGTTGAGGATGTGCCCTCGGCATTCAGGTGCTAATAGCCACATGGGTGGTTGTCAAAATTATGGTCCCTTCTTGGGTCCTCATTATAATACGGCACCTAAGATTTAAGGTACCCAAAAGGGGACCCAAATTTTGACAACCACCCACATCAATTACCTTCAGTGTGTTTCCGTTCTAAGGTTAAGAGTCAAGATAAGGGCAGGCACCTTGGTCCAAGCTCATCAGCAGCAGCATAATGGCGGATGCGAACAATAGGGAGCGGTGTTGGGATTTTAAGATTTAGGGTTTAGGGTTTTACAACACTTGTGGAGCAAATCGTGCTGGTCACAGCAAAGAAAAACATAATTGCATGTTAAAGCCATGCTATTGTCGATGACAGCTATAAATAATGGTGTCAAGTTAGGGACGTGGCAACAGATCACAAGTGCAGGATTTCTCACCCCAAGCCCCTTCATCCCCAACAAAAACCCAGCCCCCGACCTTGAACCACGCACAAGACGGCCTCTGCACAGGATGCAAGGGGTCGGCTGGAGGCCAGGGAAAGGGGCACTAGGGATTCTAACTTTGGGCTACGGCTGAGGTTTTGTGAATTGTGAAGGGCGCTTGTGAAGCTTTCTTGGAGGCATCCACAACATTACCCCGAAAGTCTTGGGTTTTGGGGCTGTTTGTAGCCTTGTCTGGTGAGGCATGGAAGGATTTAACAACCACCCTAGACCCATGATATCCCGAACCTAGAGAGTCCAGAGGCACAGTAGCCGCGGAGCCCGTCCGGGCGCCCAAGCCCAAAATCCGAGTCCCGCAGACTACTTGAAGACTCCCGGGACTGATGGTAAGTGGGGTTATAAGGGGTGGGGGGTACAAGTGCCCTAAATAGGCTTATCCTAAGATCCTAAATATATCCTGGTTTAGACTTAGAACCTTACTTGCTGAGTCCCGGGAGCCCTTGAATAATTAATTACTATCTCAGTGTTAGCAGTGATGTTCTGATGATCTGATGATTAATCTTCCTTGCTACGGCTGGTATGAGCCCTGAACTCTACGCTGCAAAAACCGAAGCCACATCACGAACACTCGTTGCTCCTACTTGTTGCTACTGCTGTGCCTTGCTTTATCACTCGGTTATTGCTATTGCCAGTGTTAGCTTTGATCTATAGTCCGGTCATTGTTATGGTTCTTGGTGTCTTTGCGAGAGCCCTCAACCCGGCGCCCTCAGCCCTCAATCCCTACTCCCTCAACCCCTGAACTCGCAGCCCTCAGCCTCAACCCACTTCAGGGCGGTTGAGAGTACAACGAAGGTTTTGTTGATAGAACCCTAAACCTCACACCCAAAACTCGAAAGCCTAAACCCCACACCCCAATCCCCCCTAAACCCTAAACCCTAAACCGTTTAAACCCGCTCTGAAGGATGTTGCTGCAGTCCTCGCGCGACGGCACTCCGAGCAAGGAGAGCCCTTGCTGGCTCGGCCGCTCAGTGGGTCGTCGTGTTTTGCAGTGCCACGGTTTAGGGTTTAGGGTTTAGGGTTTTAGGGTTTAGGGTTTTAGGGTTCAGGGTTTAGGGTTTAGGGTTTAGGGTTTTGGGCTTCCTCTAAACTTTAAGAGTTTTGGGTTTAGGGAAGGGTTCGCTTGATGGAATGGATCCTTTATGGGTAACGGCGATCCTCCAATCTAAGGGTTGAATTATTTTGATCTGATAGGGTCAGTTAAAGGTTTCAGGGGCGTCGGATGTACTTGAAGGCTCATGGGACTTAGTAAGTAAGGTTATAAGTAGGTTATAGTTAGGATAACCCCACTTCCTGGGTCTGGGATTTATGATTTGGTGGTTATTAGGGTTCAGGCAGAAAAGCCTTTAGATGTACCGGATAGCTGATCCCTAAATAGCCTATTTCCTCATTACAATCCTTAGACAGATTGGTTCTTTACGGTCAAGGTGTAGGATGCAGGGATTCGATTTTAGGATGTCTGGTAACACGTACAATTTTTACAGTTGAGGGTTTAGGTGTAGGATTCCGGGCTCGGGTGCTTTCTTAGGTTTAGAGGCAGCTTGCTGTTCGAGTGAAACAGTCGCGCACTTGTACAAGCGATTCTCATCGTACGCCACACGTGTCCGTAACATGAGACTTTAAGTCTTTATCAGCTGTACAATTCTAGAGAAGCCCGACAAACGCTAAACCCCCAACCCCTGAACCTTAGACCTGACAAACCCCAACCAACCGTAAACCGTACCATGTCCACCCTCATACCGAAAGCAGTCTTTTTATGGGTCCTTGTGCTTGTCGTTCTAATACCCTAGGGGTCCATGTACCCAAATGGTATATACTTTGGCCTTAAAGTACTCCCTATATGGGTACATTCGGCCCAAAGTATATACTATGTGGGCACATGGACCCCTAGGGGTAGGTCATGAGAGCCCGACCCAACAGAACTCGAAAGGGGATCCCCAGTTGTTAGCAGTCCCCAGTATTTGTATGCACGTTGTGTATGTATACATATGGGAGTTACCGAAAATAGGGGACCCAAATTCAGAACCTCAGACAGTAGGATCCTTATTGTAAGGACCCAGTTTTCGGTACCCCTGATTTTCGGAATCTCCCATATCTGCATGTGAATGTATGGGTGTGTACATGTAGGCTACAACAGACCGACCGGATAGACAGATAGGTGGGTACATGGACGGACGGATAGGCAGACAGAGAGACGGACGGGCAGACAAGCAGACGATGTTCATCTCCAGCCATGCATTTGAATCGTTGCCGAAAGATCCCATCAAAGCAAGCGCTGCCTCTCCTCGACAATCGCAAGTTACATGCTCAACCACAGACTTGGCAACATCTGCCATATGGAGCTGCTCCGCTCTTCATGAGCATCCTGCCAAAACGGCATACTTGATCTGATTGCTCACGGTAGGCAGCAGGGCTGCTATACTAAACCCTACACCCCAAACCCTAAACCCCTAAACTCTAAACCCTAAACCCCATTCCCTGTCAGCAGCATGCAAATGACATGGTAGGGCCTTGAAGGGGATGTTGGCCACGGTGTTCGGAGCCCGGCGCAGAGCCCGGAAGGCTCCACCCAAGGCTGCAAAGGCGCCCGAAGTGCCGCGAAGCTCATACCATGGTATATTCTTCTGACGATTCTTAGTAAACTAGTATCTATTATGGTAACAATAATAACAATTATGCGCTTCTCAGCATTATTAGTATTAGTATTTATTATGGTAACAAGAACAGCAACATTACCATGGCATAGTCTAGGTACGCCGAGCCCGAGAAGGAGCGCCGCCAGAGACCTCGGAAGCGGAAGCGTCCGTCCGAGCCTCCTCTTACCTTTGGTTAGTAGGGAATGGAGGAATGGGGTACAATTCTAAAACCCTAAACCCTGTAAACCCCTAAACCCCTAAACCCCTAAACCCCTAAACCCTAAACCCTAAACCCTAAACCCTAACCCCTAAACCCTAAACCCTAAACCCTAAACCCCTAAACCCCATTCCGTACTAACCAAAAGGTAAGTCCTGCGGCCGCGGCGAAGGCGGAAGCCTCGGCCTCGAAGCTTCCGCCTCCGGCGGCCCTCCCTGCCGCAACTGAGCCAGAGCCGAAGCAGAGCGACTTAGGGCGTACTTGGAGTTGTTGTCTATGTAGTTGATTTTAAACTTTATGTTTTTGAGATGTACTGTGATTTTTGAAGTGTTGGTGAAACTACTAGAATCCGTAGGAATTGTTGGCTAAACTACTATGATAATCCCCAGAAGGGGCACGGAGTTCAGCCTAGGCAAGACCAGCGGCGCCGCGCGGCGGCGCCTGGCGAAGGAAAAGGCCAAGGCTGAGGCCGCAATCCAGGTGCCCGTGCGTTCCCTTATGAAGGGGTCTATAAGGGTTACTATAAGGGATCTATATAAGGGTACTATAATATATGGGTCTTAATAATCCTATATCTTACCTTTGGTTAGTAGGGAATGGAAGAATGGTGGTAATAGTAGTTATGGGTTTAGGGATTAGGGAAGAATGGTAGTAATAGTAGTTATGGGTTTAGGGTTTAGGGAAGAATGGTAGTCATGGTAGTTAGGGGTTTAGGGTTTAGGGAAGAATGGTAGTCATAGTAGTTGCGGGTTTAGAGTTTAGGGACGAATGGTAGCAGTAGTACTTATAATTGTACCCCATTCCTCCATTCCCTACTAACCAAAGGTGCCCGTGGAAAACACCGAGGCCGCTGCTGGGGAGGCGCTCCTCGTTCGCATCTTCCCAGAGAGCCCAATACCCCTTAATTAAGGAACATATGCATGGCTTGGATTATGAGAGGCTTCATATTATGGTTTGCGCTATATGCCTTAATTAAGGGGTGTTAGGCTCTCTGGGTTAGGATTATTCGATGTGTTTGTTTGCGTTAATATCAGTAGTAAGAATGAGGATCATAGCTTAACGTATGTACTGTATGTATGCATGGCATGGCATGGCATGCCTGTATGTACTTGTGTGCGTATACACATAGCCCTGGCAGTACATCTTGCTTATACGCCGGGTTCCGCAGCCCTGCACCCGGAGAGCCCGACAGGCCCAAGGCAAGGAATCTGACTTAAATCATAGATTTTGGGTTTTGGGGTTTACATAATCAAGAGTTTTGGGTTTGGGGTATGCACAATTAGGGCCTTGGGGTCTAGAGTTTAGGGCTTTGGGTTTAGGGTTTTGGGTATTGGGGTTTTAGGCGCTCCGTCTTATGGTAAAGTCCCAAAGTAGGGGGTATTGAACTCTGCGCGAAGACTGCTCCAAAGCCATCTGCTACATGCTTCCACGACGCACCTGCTTGGAACCTGATAGCATCTAAGGCTCTCCCAAGCAGCTTTGAATGCGGCATCTCGGTGACATTATTGTTTTGCAGTTACAGTCTTTAGGACGGGTGTCCTCTTGAAGCTTGCTAGTTTAAGTTTACCTGGGCCTGTGGGGCTTGTTGCAGTTACGGTTTAGGGTTTAGGGGTAAAGTTTGCTTATTCGACCTTGTTGTGAAGTTTGCTGTAGGGCTCCCAAAGCCTAGCCAAACCTCTGAGCCCTGTTCAGCCTGGTTTCCGAAGCATGCCAGGCCTAAGCCGTGTCTAGAGCATAGTGCACATGCCTAATATAGGGGCTTTATTTCTTACCAATACTATTTTGGGGGGTTCCTTGTGTAAGTATCGTCTTAAGGGCCCCCAAAACCCTATTCTAATTAAACCCTATTCTAATAATTATTAAGGCCCTTATATGATCATCGTACCCTTAAAGATCCCTTATAGTAGCCCTTATAGACCCCTTTAAAGGAAACCCTATTCTAATTATGAAGGCCCCCATAGTATGTAGCGGGAACAGTGTTCGGTACACTGATCGTTGCAATCGAGGTGGCCTGGCTCTTACCGGTGTGAGCAGGGGATAGGGGTTAGGGTTTAGGGGTTTAGGGTTGGGATTGCTGGTTTCTTAGAAGCTGGTCCTTCACCACTGGTAACAATGCAGACGCCCAGTTCTTGGGGCAACCCCAAGCCCTGACACACCAACCCTTCTGCCAACGTCAAGAAGCCTAGCTCCAAAACCATCTGAACCGACATCCCGGAACCCCAAATCCTGAAACCCCGACAGCCACGAACCCTGCACCTCAACTCTCAACCCACGCAGTAACGCCCTGAAACCTCAAGCCCTTTAGAAGCTCAGGTACAGGTAAGTGGTCCCGGCTGTGAGTCAGAAGATCTCAAGCCCTGGCTGAGTTTTTCTGAGGCATTTCTTTAGAACTTTCGGAGTTACGGTTTCTGGATGTGGCATTTATTTGGGCTGCAGTTTGACGGGTGTGTCGGGATTTGCAGTTTTTGGTGTGGTATTTATAGAGGTTGAAGTTTGAGGGGCTGGTCTAGTGTAGGTTAGACTCTAGGGAGACTCAAGTTTAGGGGTTGAGGATTGAGGTCGAGGGTTTCGGCATCCTAGCGTTTAAGGTCTCGGTCTGTTCACACCACCTAGCATGATAGTAGAAGCCTGTCCTCATGCCCTTGAGGAAAAGCAAATCCCCGCACTGATATAAATCCAGCATTACCTTAAGGACCCGAAATTACGGGAATTATGGTATACTCCTTATTATGGGAAGTATGGCTTAGATCATCAACCATACAGGTATCAGTTGTGCACCGGCAAGCAAGAATAATACCGAACATGCATAGCGTCATGAGCTTGGCCATTCTGGGCAGGGTTCACAGTTCGAGGGCATGAGATACGAATTTCGATGATCGGTAAGCTGGTAAGGGTTGGACTCCTGGGTTTCAGTTTGCTTTTGCCGGTTTACCCTTCGGAGAGGAATGTCACTACCACTGCAGCCAACAGCACTACCTTTGCACCACCACTGCAATGCTGCAATCTGCTCAGGATCCACATACCGACCATCATTGGCACCGCATGTGCAATGGGTTTGTTCCGCTTCGTGTGCCGCATGTCAAGCAACATCATCTCACAAGTGCCACCATCAGCATCATGACCGTCAGCATAGTCACCATCACAGGCTGCATGAGTGTCATTAGTGTCGTCATCATCATCATCATCAGCAGCAGCATTATCATCATCATCATCATCAGCCTCGTCAGTATCATCGTCATCTCCGTCAACCTCCTCGTTCTCGTCGTCATCATCATCATCATCATCATCCGCAGCAGCAGCTTCATCACGAGCAGCAGCATCATCAACCTATTTATCACTCTCACGATACAAAGCACCGGCAATGGCAATATCTTGCCACCTGAAGCTATCGTAGAACTATCTTGGACTCCAGCTGTTGCCTCAGTTGCTTGTTGCTGTGAGTACACGCCCCAACTGCGATGGCTTGTCTTGTGACCCGTCTAAGCCTTGAAATCCAGGACATGAAAGCCGAACCCCAAACCCACTAAACCCTGAAACCCTGTACCCTACACCCTACAACCTACACCCCGAAACCCTGAACCCCTAAACCGTAATCCTAAAGCCCTAAAGCCCTAAAGCCCTAAATCCTTAACCCCTAAACCCCTAAAGCCCTAAATCCTAAAGCCCTAAACCCCTAAACCCCTAAACCCCTGAACCCCTGAACCCGTTAAGCATGGAAGGTGCAAGTTGGTGGGCCGAAAGGGAAGCTGCCGCAAGTTGTGACGTCTCTCGGATGCATGAGGTTTAGAGTTTTAGGGTGTAGGGGTTGCAGGGGTTGTAGGGGTTTAGGGGTTTAGGGGTTTAGGGGTTTAGGGGTTTAGGGGTTTAGGGGTTGTAGGGGTTTAGGGGTTTAGGGGTTTAGGGGTTTAAGTTTTAGGGTTTAGGGTGCCATGATCATCCCGGGTGCTCGGAGCCGCTAAATGGGAGTTTCCGAAATTAGGGGTACCTTATTTTGGGGGGTCCTTATAAGCAGGATCCTACTATTTAAGGTTCGAGACGAGGGTCCCCTAATTTTTCGGAAACTCCCAGATCCGAAACCCCAAAGCTCCCATGTTGATTCCGGTTGGTCGGAAGCCTCGAAAGCTTCTTAGGGTTTAGGGGTTTAGGGGTTTAGGGTTTAGGGGTTTAGGGTTTAGGGTTTAGGGTTGTTAAAGTCCGATCTGGTGAAGACTGTTGCAAGGACCGCTGGATTTGGTTCGCACGGGGAGCTGTAATGTAGAGGCCAGCACAGACACGAAACCCCTGTACATGTGTCATGTTTTGTGTGCTCTGCTCCATGGGGCAACCCAGAGATCCCAATACCCCCTACGCAATTAAGGAATATACCTTAGACCATTAAGCACCCTATAATTTGAGGAATATTTCTTAATTAAGGGACATTGGGTTCTCTGAGAGGATGCAGTGTCGGGTCAAGGATGGGAGGTCCCTGAGCCCTAAACTCTGAACAGAGCGCGCTGCAGGTCCTACATGGCTCAGTACCGGTCCTTCAGACAGCCGACGCCCATCCAGGCGTACTGTTGGCCTGCTGCGTGTGCGGGCCGGATTCTTGACCGAGCCATGCTCCAAGTTTTAGATCTTCACAGCCCCCCGACCTATTACCTGAACACTGGGTTGAACTTGCAGCAGACGCCAAAAAGTTGGAACATGGAGTGAGGACGAGTAGTGCCAAGATTCAGAGCATGAGGATGACGATGTTCCAATTCTCTGGCTTCTACTGCAAACCTTAACCTACCAAACCCTACCTTTTTGTAGGTTCTTATTATAAACCCTAATATGGAATTTATAGGGACCCTACTTTTTTGTAGGTTTTGGTAGGTTAAGGAACAATTTCAGGAACATCCTTGGTCTGAGCCCTAAAGCCTAGCTAGAATTTAAATCCAAGGCCGAAGATCTTGCAAATGCTTGTTTGGAATGTCCTTGGCAACCCCAAAACCTCAAACCCCAAAGCCTACGTTCCAAACTCCCTGCACCCTAAACCCTTACAGCTTTAAGAAAAGAGCCCCTTAAAAAACAACACAGTTTCAGGAACGTCCTTGGCATCTCCAAAACCGGCAGTGGGAAGACCCTCGCCTTTATTTGCCCCGGACTCGCGCGCGTCTTGGCTTTTTCACAGGGAAATAGGGACGTGCTCCTATAGGAGTTAGAGTTTATAGGGGGTTTGTGGAAGGCTCCTTGGCTTGGGTGCTCCTTTTCATGGCATTCGGGCTTTTGTGCAGCATTTGGAGTGGTTTTGCTTTACGTCTCAATCTCTAGATGCGTTTAACATCCCACAGCCTCGAAAGCTCCGACCAAGACGAAATCTCAGAACCCTGATCCCGTCTGTAAACCCTAAACACCAAAACCCTACTTGAAGGCTCATGGGACTTAGTAAGTAAGGTTATAAGTAGGTTATAATTAGGATAACCCCACTTAGGGGACTTATAACCCCAATTATAACCTACTTACTAAGTCCCATGATCCTCTAAGTACATTGCCCTACATAAGACTATCCAAGGCATCCTCTCCTTCCGCAGCTCGCCGACAGCAAGCTTCGGGCCCTATGTGCTCGTGATCGCGCCTACGAGAGCCTTGGGGCACGTTTTTTGGAGTTTAGGGTTCGGGGTTCAGGGGTTTAGGATTTGGGGTTTAGAGGCAAAAAAGAGATTATATAACGAAAGCAAAACAAAGAAAAAACAATAAAACATATCTCGGGCTTGAGGGCTTTAGGGTTTAGAGAGCATTGGGGCCCGAAGCTGCGGGGTTTGGGAGTATCTTCGTAGGGCCTTGTGGGTTTACGGCGCTCTATCGGATGGCGCAAAAGCAGTTAGGAGTATCTTTGCAGGATTATATGCGCGCGTTTTGGTAGGGTTGTAGGTTTGGGAGTATCTTTATGTGGTTTCTAGGGTCTAGTATTTTCTAAAAGTGGCATAGGGAGGGATGTTAGTTCTTGGGCTATTCTTAGGATTACAGATATAGTATAATGGGCCCCCACATCCTGTTCTAATTATTAAGGTCCCTATATTCCTATACATAGCTTTTAAATTTTTATCAATCAGACCTCTGTCATGGCTTAGGGTGGAGATCTCGGGGTTCTGCGGGTGCTACATTCGAAGCTTGAGGCTGTGGGTTTAAGGTCTGCCTACCAGAACCTATATTTCTGCTGGGTATGATCATAAACCCTAGGATGGAGTTATAGAGACCCTACAAAACAGTAGGTTCTGGTGGGTTAAAGGTAGGCGTGTGGGAGGCAGTGTCTGATGGCCCTACTTGAAGTCTCATGGGACTTAGTAAGTAAGGTTATAAGTAGGTTATAATTAGGATAACCCCACTTAGGGGACTTATAACCCCAATTATAACCTATTTACTAAGTCCCATGATCCTCTAAGTATTAAAGGGCCATTGGGGGCTCCTGGCGTACCCTAAGCCATTTCTGAAGCCTTCAGCCCCAGGACCTCGGTTCATGAGCCTCCGAACCCAAACTACCAAAACGGTTTAGGGTTTAGGGTTTAGGGTTCGGGGTTTAGAGATTGAAGGTTTAGCCGTTTAAGGCTTAGGGCGCCAAATCTGTAGCCCTAAACCCGAAGCCGCAATCAGTCCATGGCATGCAAGCCACCCCTTAGAAGCACTGTAAAACCCTTGCCGCTAGATCCTGCATAGAACCCTTAATATAAAGGAACCCTACCTCCTAAACACGTGTAAAAAACTGTAAGCACCCAATCAAAGCCTCCTACACTGACAGAAAGGAGAGCTGGCCGTCCAGATTGCCAAAGATGCAAAGGGACTCCTGGTACCGATTTGGGATAAGCTTTTAGGTTCCAGTCTTGCTTTCTACAGAGGCCCTAAACCCCAAAACCGAACCCCTAAACCCCAACCGCCCTAACCCCGAAACCCCAAAACCCTAAACCCTATGCCCTAATCCCCAAGCCTTAAACCCTAAGCCCCTCAACCCCACACCCCAAAGTATATGAGGACTCTTGAAATCGACACCTAGGACTGTGCCTGGCCCTCCGGATCCGCCTCGCCTGCCTCTTCGGTGGTACCTCGAAAGGGGAACAGGTGGGAGTTTCCGAAAATCAGGGGTACCTGATTATCGGGTCCTTATAATCAGGATCCTACTATTTCGGATTCTATATTAGGGTCCCCTATTTTCGGAAGTGGGGAAGGGCGAGGCATGCGGGCTTCAGGGCTTATCTAGACCCCAACTACCCTCTAATATACCCTAAATACACACTATTAAGGACCCTATTAAAGAGTGCTTGGGGGGTCCTGGTAGGGTGTAGGGTTCAGGGTTTGCCTTCATGCGTTCGCGAACTTTGCCGTTTAAGGCACCCTCTTTTCAACCAGGTCCGAAGTAAGGACTCGAAAAGCTAACGCGAACTTACAATCCCGAGATGGCACTGGCAACCCACTACCCCAGAGGCTCCATATACAGTACCATTATGGAATTAGGTCCCCAAACCCAGAATGTGGATGGTCCTAGGGAACCTAATTCCATAACGGCACTCTTTGTGGAGCCTCTGGGTATCTAAACATTATTCTGAACCCTGCACCCCAACCCTGCGCCGGCCTGATACCCTAAACCCTAAACTAAACCCTAAACTAAACCCTAAACCCTTGTGAAAATGAAGAACCCTAAACCTTTTTCAAAATAAACCCTAAACCCATTTTAAAATGAAAAACCCTAAACCCTAAACCCTTTTTTGAAAACCCTATAAACCCTAAACCATCAATCCGGCCTGATAGGTGAAGTCGCTGGATAAAGGCGTCGACCTCATTGTGGCCACACCGGGGCGGCTGGATGATTTGGTGTCACAGCCCGATAGATTCACCGGCCGCGAGATCTTGTGGCCTGGCTGGTCTGAACTCCAGCCCACCCTGCAACCATCAACCATCCCCGTTTAGTTCGGGAGTTTGTCTTCAGTTATTACATAACATCTTTGTATATGTATATACATATATGTATAGAGATATAGGCCTTATATGGTGATGATGTACTGTGCATGCCTCGATTGCAGGGTGTCGGGTGCGATGGGTGAAGGATCTGCATCAATTCAACTGTTGTCGGGTTTCGGCGGATCCTGTAGGGTCGGGCAAAGATACCAGGAAACCTACCTGGACGCTGTAAAACCTTCTTTGTGCCTACTACGACCTTCACGTTAGGTCTCTGTCGATGGTGCACTATGTGGTGCTAGACGAGGCAGATTGCATGTTGGAGTTGGGCGACCTGGCCAGCCTTGGTGTAGGGGTTTGAACTGTTCGAGGATTGAGGGGTTAGGGGGATTTAGGGTGCCTGAGGGCTCCGGACTGCGGTCTTCATGGTGTCGCTGTTTGCCTCAGAATAGGGTTTGATAAGGTGTGTAACAATGTAAGAATGTGAGGGCATGCCCCGTATGTAATTGAACGGCTTGCTCAGTAGCACGTGATGCAGCTTGCACCAAATGACTTCCAATTGCTGTTCGTCCTCTAGATCTGACATGGCATCCTCTACCTGAAGTGGGATGCTGTGCAATGTCTTTCTTGATGGCTGTCGGAGCCGGATTTCATTGCAGCTTGTGTGTTTATCTTGGGATGAAGACTTTGCATTTAACTGCACAGCACGTGCCCCAACCCTGCACCTCTCCGACAAGACACTGTTTAGGGCAAGCACATAGTAGAAGCGGGAGCGATGCCATCAACCGAGGCTTCGAACACCAGGTTCGGCGCCTACTGGGCAAAGTCAACGCCAAGCATCAGTCGCTCGGCTTCATATTCCGAGGTGAAGCAAACGAGCTCATGATGATAACAATGGTAACAGTATGTTGGACGATCGCTGGGATGGTGGCTGAAGGCTGAAGGCATCGGATCTTATCACGGCATCTGGATTTAACCCAAACCCCAAGCAGAAGAAGCCCGACGATCCACCATATCTGTGGGAGCTTTGAGTGTGACACCCTCAGATTCTGCGGTTTACCAACCCTGCCCACTGAAACCCTGCATCCTCACCCTGTGCGACAAGATCATGTCTGGCTTCACCCCAAACCCCGAAATCCTAAAATCCTTGGGATACTATCCACACAGCTGCTTCAAACACTCAACCCGCAACCCTGCTCACTGCAATTTAACCTTACAGCCCTTAAACCCTGAACCTTGCGCCCGAAACCTCAAGCCCTGAAAGACGTAGAGTTAAGCGCCTTAGGCGTTGAGCCCTCCTAGCTGGAAGAAGCGAGCCTTTGAAGATACGAAGAAGCCAAAGCCGTTACGGATCAGGCTCTAACCCTTGAACGCCGGTGTCAGAAGCCCGAAAATCCACAAGCCGTCAAGTCTTTAACCTTAAACCGTTTAGGGTTTAGGGCTTCGCTTAAACCCTATATCATCTCCTAAACATCAGGAGACCCTTATGCCTCCTTAGAGCCGCCACTGCATGCCACAGCCTGTCACTTCCCCTAGACTCCAACCCCGTCATTCCTACATCCCAGAACTCTATAAAGACCTACAAACCCACCAAGTAAGCCACCTAAGCCCTAAACCCCTAAACCCCTAAACCCTTAAAGCCCTAAACCCTTAAAGCCCTAAACCCTTAAACCCCTAAACCCCTAAACCCTTAAAGCCCTAAACCCTTAAAGCCCTAAACCCTTAAACCCCTAAACCCCTAAACCCCAAACATTCCCACAACCCCCCGCCGTACTTTCCCCCCAGTTCCAAGGATCCTTTGCTTCAGCGCCACGTGGCCGCCCAAGGTCGAGGTCCTGGCGAAGGACCGGAAGCCCCGGGCTACGGGGATTCCTTTAGGGGTTCCTCCTTAAAGGGTCCCTAGAAGGATTCCTTTAATTTCAGAGCCCCTGTTGGGTTCCTTCTTAAAGGGTCCCTTTTAAGGATTCCTTTGAGCTCTTTAGGGGTTCCTTTAAGGGTCCCGTTAGAGGGTTCCGTTAAGCGTCCCTTTAGAGGGTTCTGTTAAGGGTCCCTGTAAGGATCCCTTTTAGGGGTTCCTCTTCAAGGGACCCTTTAAGGATTCCTTTCAGGGTTCCTTTCAGGGTTCCTTTAGGGTCTACTACAAGGGTCCTATAGATTCCCCAGGGTTCCTAGACCTAGTATGGTCTAGGGGTTTAAAGGGGTTAGAGTCGGTAGCCTTTAACCGTTCCGGGTACTGTAATCCCTAGTTAATCCCTTAATAATCCCAAGGGTTAACCTTCACTTCCCTGAGGTCTTGGACAAGTAGGGCTCCGGAGGTTCCTTGGCGTTCATTGAAGGGTTAGACTCTGATATTCCTCAGCGGCTCCTTCAAAGGTCCCAATGTTCTTTAGGGGTTTTTTTGAGCGTTCCGATAAGGGTTTCGAAGATGCCAGACAAGGGTTCTGGAGTTCTAGAGGGTACTATAAGGACTTGGGGTTTAGAGAAACGGTTGATGATATAAATCCTGCATGACCCATAATAAGGAATATACCATAATTACCATATATTCCTTATTATGGGTAATGCAGGATTTATATCATCAACCGAATCATACGGAAGGCTTGAATCATTGGTAAGAGTGGCCCCTTATAGCCTTCCCTCAGGATACCTTATTGCAAATATACTTTGCCATATCCAAACCCTATTCAATGACTTGTACTACAGCCCCTCTAGTATAGCCGATGTCCCATTTCCTGCATCACCTATAGCACGGAATACTGGGCTTGGCTGTAATTCTCATTGTGGAGGGTAGGGCTTTTGCCCAACTGCAGTATCCAGTACCCTCCGCATATTGCTGATACTCCCCTCTCTCTGTCTATATATATATATATACACACACACATACATCTGCACATATTATGTATATGCATATGTATATGTATATATACAGATATATCAGTAGTAGTGAACATTAGCACAGCAATAGCTTTAGAGAAGTGGCAACTCCGACCAGAATTAACCTAATCGTAACAGTCATCATAACACAGGTAGTAGCAGCTAGGCAGCTAGTACAGATTATAGTTATTGTAGGTAAGATGTGACGGGCGTACAACAACAACAACAAAAGCAAAAGCAGCAGACACGGCAACAACAAGGCAACGGCAACCGCAACGTACACAGCAGCAGCTCCAACAGTGGCAACAGCAGTGCAGCAACAACTGCAACAGGCAAGAGGTAACATCAACAGCACCAGCGCGCCCGCAGCAGCAGCAGCAGCAGCAGCAACAGCAGCAGCAACAACCACGACTACAACGATAGCCACCACTGAGACCAGCGCCACCGCCGAGCTTCTACTTCACATGCTTTGCTCGGGTGTTATCTGTGGCCTTGTAGGTGTACAGGGTTTGGACCTGAGAATGGTTTCATGAGGCTTGGTATCGCTTTATGCCGCTTTGTCGTCAGGCTATTATTGTACTGTCGTTTGGTACAGCATCGAAAACTGGAACCCCTTTGTACAGCCTGAAGGCCTGTGTCAAGCATGCTACCCGTTCTTTCCGAGATGTACCCCGCTGTCAGATGTTTAAACACGAAGCCATACAACCTAACCTCTTGAACTCGCATCTTAGATGCATGCGCTGTTCTTTCAAAGGAGCGTGTCAAGAATGCGATCAGGATAGAGGCCGGTTTCGTTCATGATTCATGATGTGGCCTGAACTAATTGGGTGTGCGAGGTTCAGCTGTTCAAGGCTCAGTCAGAATTTCGTAAATCATCAAATCTATCACGAAATCATCCTGAGCCACAGCTTAAGCAGCTCGCTTCGGTCACATGCCTTCATCGTGCTTCATCTCCGAGTTTGGGGTTCGAGGTTTAGGGAATTTGGGTTTCGTTTCAGAGTTGGTGGACCAGGGTTTAGGGTCTAGGGCACTTGTTGTTTTCATCATGCCGCTGTCAGTAGCACCCGATCATCTGTTTGAGGAATGGGTTCTCGATGTAGCCGCAGCAGTGCTACGGTTGGTGATATAAATCCTGCATTACCATAATAAGGAATATATGGGAATCATTGTATATATTCCTCATTATGGGTAATGCTGAATTTATATCATCAACCGTACCTGCAGGTTGGTGCCAACCAGGCCACGGGGATTTCCGGGAACTCAAACTGCGAGCAGCACGTGAGGCCCGGTTCAGCGGAAGAAAGGTTACACGGTCCATAGAGCTCAAGGGGTTTAGGACTCCTTTAAGGGATCCAAAAGGTTTAGGGATTAGGGTTTTAGGGTAGTTACAAAATGGGGTAATAAGTTCCTTCTGTGGGTGTTAATTATGGCTACCATAGCTGGGGCTATACTTTGAGAAGCAAGCGTAATTACCAACATCAGTCTTTAAGGCTCCAGATTAGGATTGTACCCTAATATACCCCAAAGTCCTCTTCTACTTCTTAAGGGCCCGATGTTGGAGTGGTGATCTGTGTAGAGGGCTTGGCTCATGCTCGTTTCTTGGTTTCGGGAGCAGAAGCTAAACAACAACGCTGAAGCAAGGTGAAAGTGTGTCAGTTGCTTCGATGTACGCTATTCGTAGTGTATACAGAACTGACGTTGACGAGTGGATGTCTCGACTTGGGTGAGGTCGTGCTTCGTTTTTTGAAGTACGTTGGTGACTCTGGGTAAACTTCAGGATTAGCGCAGGGTGCTCCTAAGACCCTAAGACAGATTGGGGCATGTCAGTTTGCAAAAAAAAAAAAAACGAAAACAACACGAAAAAGCTTGAATAATGGATGCTTCGTGGTTTCGGCTAAACCTAAATAGCAACACGAACACAAAAACACAGGTAAACGCCAATAGGAAAACGAGATACCACACCAAAGCGCGCACACACACACAAGAGACACAATGAAAGCAAGCATAAGGTGAACGAAAAGGTAGCTTCTCCGTAGGGCAAAGGCAAACAACCTGGCAACACGGCAAAAACCTAAACCCGAAACCCTAAACCCCTAAACCCTTAGACCCTAAACCCGTAAACCCTAAACCCCTAAACCTTAAGCCCCTAAACCATAAACCCCTGAACCCTAAAACCCAGGGACCACTCGACCCCCAGCCCGAAAATTGGGGGTACCTTATTGTTGGATCCTTATAACAGCGATCCTACTATTCAGGGTGCCATATTCGGGTGCCCTATTTTCGGAAACTCGCATGTAGGAGTCGGGTAGTCTAGTGTTCAGTTCCTGGGGAAGGCGCCTTAGTCATGAGTGTCTGAAAGCCTAATCAGCGACATTCCTGCAAACCCAAATCCGAAACCCACACCCCTAAACCGCTAAACCCAAAATCCCTAACCCCTAAACCCTAAGTCCCTAACCCCTAAGCCCAAAATCCCAAACCCCTAAACCCAAAATCCCTAAACCCTAAGAGCCAGTTGCCCGGTTTTGCTCATCATGCTTTAGGGTTTTAGGGCCTAGGGCTTGAGGGTGTTTAGGTTTAGGGTTTATATGGTTACCAGATATAGCAAAAATACTCCTTGTGAACATAATTGACCCGCACCTCGAAATAGCCACAGAGGGCCGTGTGCAAGGTGCCTTCGTCAGTCCACGGCAGAGGCGAAGACACGTGAGCAACCAGCCGGCACTGTTTTGGGTTGCTCCAGCTAAGGACGTTTCAGGATTGAGGGTGTCAGGCCTTAGATACATTTCAAGGTCCAGGGTTTGGTAATTATTTAAACTTCGAGTCATGAAGGCATTAGCTGTCCAGATGATCGCAGCCGCACCAGTGGGTCAAGCCAATAGTAAGAGTAGCGCACACGAGAGATCTTCACAACTAACATCAGCATGGTGAGGCAAGAGTGTCTATGAGAAGGTTTGCAAGTCTGGTCCGGTGCTAGCCATGCTGCTGATTCGGGCTGTGTCGGGTGAAGTCCTCATTGACATTGACTTGTTGAGCTTTCTTGAGACGCTTCCGGCAGAGATGAGTCCTGTCCGAGCATTGAAGCAACACTTGCACAGCATGTTGGGGCTGTCACGGTTCAGGCAAAGGCTGGTGTTTCCGGATGATGATGCGGCTCCAGATGACGAGCGACAGAACTTGAGACCCACCGGCGTTCAGGTGGTGGTGATTCAGAACTTCTTCCCAGCATCAAGTGAACGCCCTTCGGGATACTGCCAGAAGCGGCCTGACATCAGAAGTGGACAGTATTTCACACAGGCCGCAAGACCCAGACTTAGGTGATCCGACTCCGCTCTCCGAAGCATCTGGGCACGGACACACACAGGTGGTGCACCTCCTGCTGGACGCTAAGGCTGACAAAGACAATGCCACGCATCGTGGCCAACCCCCTTCACTCATTGCAACTCAGAATGGGCAGTTGGAGGTTGCACGACTTGTGCTGTAGGCCAACGCGGACAAGGACAAGGGCAACGAGAACGGTGCCACCCCTTTGTATGCTGCATCTCAAAACGGGCATTCGGAGGTTGCACGCCTTCTGCTGGAGGCCAATGTGGATCAGGACAAGGGCATAGAGAACGGTGCCACCCCCCCTTTGTATACTGCATCTCGAAAATGGGCATTTGGAGGTTGCACGCCTTCTGCTGGAGGCCAATGTGGACAAGGACAAGGGCATAGAGAACGGTGCCACCCCTTTGCATATTGCAGCTCTGAATGGGCAGGTGGAGATTACGCGCCTTTTGCTGGAGGCCCAAGCCGACATGGACAAGACCACAACGACTGGCGCCTCCGCGTTGCAAGTTGCAGCTCACTTGGTTGCACGCCTTCTGCTGGAGGCCAAGACCAAAGAGAACGAGGCCGCCCCTGCGTTTGTTGTCATTCATGATGGAGCCACGCCCCAGCCCAGAAGACTGGATAGCAGGAGGTTGCACACCTTCTGTCGAGAATTGGAGGCTGATATGGACGAAGGGCAATGGCTTGGATGAATTTGCCAGACCTTAGGTCATCGCAGCGGAAGGCGGGCCGGGCTTGGAAAGATGTGGCTTAGAGGCATACTAGACAATGGTACCTTGCGGCGGCGTTGTGACAACCCCAACAGCCCTAAACTCTATTTCTGTTCAAGTATTTTCAAAAGCAAGGTACCTCCAATGGACACTACCTGACAAAATGGAACCGCTCCCCGATTGAGGGTTTGTTTTGGGCTTCAGGGCTTGCATCCAAGATGTACTATAGGGACCTTATTATATAATTGGGATAGGGTGTTGGAGTATTCAAGTATCAACATAATCGGGAACCCTAGGGAATAATGTCGATGTTATAATGTTATAAGATTTTAAGCCTGTATGTTATGCGATGTAGACCTTTGTGCTCAGAGTACTGTGCACGCATGGTTCGACTGGCACATAGAACGTACCGGTCGTAATAAGTTCATTCCGTTATTGTCCTTGCTTCAGTAAATTAAAATATATATATATATATATATATATGCACACATACATACTATAAGACACCGCCGAACTCTTTATAAGGCCTCCCCCCCCACACATCTATTTCGGTTTAGGATTCAGGCTCACACTGAAAGCTCAAGGCATCTGGCACATGAAATGGAAGCTTGAACCGTTTGTAACACTGTTCCCCAGGGTTCCTTGTTCATGTTACAAGCATAGTTGGCATAGTGATTAAGAACATGCCACAAGACATTACCCCAACCAAGTCCGTCCCAATATTCTCATTTCGACCATCAAGACTAAGCCCTTACCCAGATGTCTTCTACTGGAGCAGTTGCTAAGGGACAACCGGGGACCATCCTAGGGTCCCTGAACCCCAAACTTAAACTCCCAAACCCCGAATACTAAGCTCCCTAACCCTCAAATTTCAATATCAATCCAAACCCCAACACCTGAATTTAAATCCAAGATGCCGTCCGTTTGCTCGTTTTGCCCAGAGACTCTCGAACCTATGTCTGTCGTTAGGGGTACTTAGAAATATTTTTGATTTTTCGTTATTATAATCCCTAAGAAACAGCTAAAATTGTTATTCTTGCTAGGGTTCTAAATTCAGTACAGTATCATGCGTCATCATTGTCGTCGTACTCGTCTTCGGGGTGGTCGTACTCGTAGTCGATCTTACAGGCGCAATCGCGTTGGTAGTGACAGGTGTCTGCTGCATAATGATGAAGCACGCACTGGTGGATTTCATGCAACGGAGCTCTGACATCAAGAGGCCATAAATCCGAAACCCCAAAAAGCCTGTAATTAGAACCCTCATCACAGACTAAGGCTTCTTCGGCTACTGCGCCTCCATAAGGAGGAGCCCGACGTCGGGGTTCTGTCCAAAAGTTTCAGCCTTGAGGACTCGATGCAAGTTCGTTTCTCAAGGACATAGAGAATCCAAAGTAATGCAAATCTGATACTTTACATCCAAAATTTTGAAAGAGACCCCCTAGGTTGCTTGCACGGAATGTAGCAGGTTCGGGTGGTTTTGACTGTCTTTTTGCCAAGTTGACCGAGACACGTTCCGATTGCAAGGTCTGCTTATGTTGCTTTCCACAACCGAATTGGTGCGGTTGGAGCCTATAGCCTTCACACACGCACCAACTCTCAACAGCCTCTCGCCTGTGTCGCACCCTCAGAACCCATAAATGAAGCTCTAAGTCCTACTGTACTAAGCCCACAGTAAACCCTAAACCCAACCCCGAAACCCCTAAACCGTAAACCCCTAAACCCCAACCCCTACTTGGAGGACCAGGGGACTTCGTAAGTAGGTTATAAGTAGGGTTATTATTGGGGTAACTCCATTTAGGGTACTTATAACTCTACATACAACCTACTTGTACTTGCTAAGTCCCCCTGCCCCTCCAAGTAATCCCAGCCCCAACACGCTGAAAATGATGGCTGCAAGGCGTGCATTGTCTTCTGTGCGACGAAGCGCCTTGTGCTCAACTTAAAAGGGCCGACTTCCCATAGGATCCTAAGTACCTACAGGGGTTCCTTGTTAAGGGCTCCTTTAAGGGCCTCCTTTATGGGGGATACTATACTCACCCAAACCATAAAATATAAATAGTTGGTTATGTTATAGAAATCTTCTGTCGTATAGGTACTTAAAACCCTTGGGGCTTGCCTTTTTCCACAAACCTCCAATGTAGCACCTTTCTTGGGTCTTCCTCCCAGATTCTTGTTGTAATTTACCTTGCAAGGTTTAGGGTTTGAAAACTTGAAGCTAAGAGGTTTAAGCTTTGGGAATTTCGGACCGATGCGCTCTCGGGCCTTCGGTTTACATTTTCGCTTCGGGGTGCCGGAATCTATGTCCTAACTTTCTGGGGTTCACTATAAAGACCCCAAGGCCCTTCAGCCCTGATCACCCCACACTCCACTAGCCTCAACAGGAACAAAACCGTGAATCTGAAACAAGAAAAGAGGTGCCAAGAAAGAAGGCCCCCTGAAGCAACTCAAGAAGAGAAGCACAATAACGAGACCCGTAGATCAACAGCTTGCAACAAGCCCATAACAGTCCCTTAACCCTAAGAACCCTAAACCCTTAACCCTAAACCCCGAAACACAGGAAGCGGACTGCGCAGCTGGGTCGAGAGCTTCGGGAGGCTGGGTGAAGTTGACGTTTTTTTCTGGGGTTCTAGAAGGTTTAGGGTTTAAGAGCCCTCTGAGGGGCTCTATGTGAGGATTCTGTAAGGCTTTGGGTGTTTATAGGCGTGTTGGAGGGCACTCTCTTAGGGCTCCTGGAAGGTTTCTGGAGTGATTGGCTCTCTGGGGTTTTCAAGGGGATTTGGGTTTAGGCTTTAGGGTTTAGGCTTTAGTTCAGGGTTTAGGGTCCAGGATTTAGGGTATTAATTCGGGTTTAGGTTTTAGTTCGTAGGGTTGTAAGGGTTCTATAGTATAAGAGCGGCACGAGGGCTTTTGGGTGTTTCTCGAAGGATTGCTTCTTATTGGTATTCTATACAGGTGCTACAAAAGTCGTTCTACCAGAGTTTTGAAAAAGCTCTAATAGACGGATTCTTTACAAGTTGTACATGGGTTCTGAAAGCGCTAGAGTCAGCCACTATAGGGGCTACCAGTACTATCTTGGGGTTCCTTATGATGATTATAGCATAGAAAATTCATCCCAACTACATTAGAGCCGCAGGTTCTCTGAAGTCTGGGAGGTTTCGGGACTAGAAGTATGGGGTCCGGGCCGGTTTGCGGTATGACATGTATGAATGCTGTCTTAGGCCCAGCGGGCCCCGGGGCTTCGGTTTGAAGGCTCAGGGCAAGAACATACGGTTGATGATATAAATCCTGCATGACCCATAATAAGGAATATACCATAATTCCCATAGTCTAGGGTCCTTAAGGTAATGCGGGATTTATACCATCAACCGTAGTATCTGTTTGACTAGAGTACAATACACTCCAAAACCCTGTTCGAGTTCCTAAGGCTCACAACATTACTTGGAGGATCATAGAACCTAGTAAGTAAGTTTATAAGTCCCTTAATTGGGGTATTATAGGTATAGATACCCTAATTATAACCCTAGTTACTAAGTCCCATGATCCTTTATGTACACAGTGTTTTCTGTCAAGCCAAGGATTTCGGGATCGAGTCGGATACGAGTTCGCGATGTGGTCTTTGGGGGTAATGTATATTTTTGCAGGTATCCTGGATAGTACAGGAACTCCAGATCTATCCTGAACCCTCAACTTTAAACCCAAGTCGAGATGGAGAAACCCTCAACCGACGAAGCATGTGGACGTAAATCCATTGGTTGTCTGTGTTCGCGGTGCTGAGCTTCTGCAATGCAGCACGACGGAGATCCAGCTCAACACCAACCAACGGCTCGAAATCCTAAACCCTAAACCCCAAGCCCCGAAACCCCAAGCAATAAAACTCCCGAGCCCACCGCTGCGAGCTTCGGAGACGGGTTTGAGGCCTCCTTCGCCGTCCGTGCGCTGCATGGAGATTTGACCCAAGCGGACCGTTGCTTGGCGAAGGAACTGTCAGTTAGGGCCTCGGGAGTACAGATGAAATACAGTATAATGTAGGAAAATATCTAGCCTAAATGATATGATATAGTGTGAGCTAATATAACGTATTAAAACATAATGTGATATGTAGTAGTATAGTACAATGCAGTATATTATATCAGAACATGATATACAATGGAGTGGGGTAGATCTGCTGCTCTGTTTGGAGACTTCGTTGGATTCGATGATGGGAGATCACCGGTGATGTTTGCAAGTCGGCTGGTATGGCGATGAAGAGAGTTGTGTTCATGATGATGGCATGGCAAAATGATGAAGATGATGACTCAGGTACCATACTGAATCGCAGGCACGATGACGATATCGATGATACTCGTGCATGTCTGTGGTGACGATGATGTCAACGGTGATGCTGCCAGTGACATGGCGCGGATGACGTTAATGGTGATGCAGACCGACAACAAGGCGGACTTCAAATAACAAAAGACGACAGACCGACACCGCCACTCGATTGTATATCAGATGTTGCGATCTTATGCATAGGCATAATTATACTATACTGTACTGATGTCAATGTTGTTGCAACAGCGAGTACCGTCATGGTATGTATCGTTTTGCTTGCCATGCTTTGTACTACTCATAACTTGCTGACATGCACTACCCTGACACTTAAACCCAAACCCTAGTCCGAATCCCCAAACCTTAACCTTGTGAGATATGCTACACCTGGGAACCGGAGCCGGAAGAAGTAAATGGTCCCTACCGACCAAGATTTGCGGGGATTTGCGGAGATCGGGGCATTCTGGTACTGGGCTGATAGGCTTCGTAAGGGTTCAAGGGTTCAGGGTTTGCAGCCTAGTTTAGGTTTTGGGGCTGAGGGCTTGGCGAGTTTAGGGTGCAGGGCTCAGTTTCGATCGCGTCCAAGGCCAGCAGGCTCTTGCGGCTTTCCGCAGCGGCGACGCGCCACTTGTTCTGTGCAGAAGGGGTCTTGAACTCCAACTGCAGATGTCTGC